GCCGCCGCGCAGGGTAGAGCCGCTACCGCCACCGCCACCGCCTCCGGCGAGTGCCGTTGCCGCCAGCAGCGACGACGAATCGAGCGAGACTCGCGCGTCTCGTTCAGGATCCCCGACTTCTCTTGTCGAGAGTGACCTGGCCACGGTGGGTGGTGAGCGGGCCGGGGATCCAGTCGTATACTTCGAGCCGACTGCAGTTGGTGCAGCTCCGCTGGATTCGCTTTTCGAGCACGGCAGAAGAGGAGCTTCATCGCGTACGTTGGTCCTCGATCGTTCCCATCAGAGGGGTCGAAGGGCTGCGCGGGAGAGCAGGGCCCCGGGAATTTGGTGCGTGTGAACTGCAACATTGATCCGTTCAACGCTCAGATCAAATTCCCGCCGGCATGGTCCTCTTGGAAGAAGATTTCTATGGGTCGCTCCAAGGACGCCCAGTCCTGGAAGCGTATAGAAGATCGTGTTGCCATGAGTTCTTCCGTGGATGCTGAGGAGTTCGATAGAGTGGCAGTCTTTGTGCAGCCTCCGAGGGCCTGCTTTGACGGAACATTGTATTTGTGCACGCCACTGTAGCTGGACCAGCATGAGATGACTACCATGCATGCTAAAAGTCGTGCCAAATATTATTCTGCATTGTGTAACATCAGTATGCAATATGAGTTCTGATCCGCGTGTGTTGCCGAGCTGTCCACGCCAGGCATGTCGGCTACCGACGAGGAGATCGTCGAAAAGGTGACCGGGAACACCGATCCGCTTCGCGGACGAGTGGGGGCCAACCTGGCCAGGGTGATGCTCTACATGATCGGCGTCGCGCTCGCCTGCCCAGTCTCGAGCGACACGGTGGCGCGCTCAGATTGGGGGCCTTCGGTGGCAAAAGACATTGTCGAGTGCAATCCTGATCTCGTTGTCGCCTACACGCCATCATCAAATCATCATGTGATCAGTGAATATTTCTTTGGTTTTGCTCAGGATAATGGTCCTGTAACTGTTGCGCTTGGTTATGAGTCTGGTTGCTCAAGCCTGGAGGCCACTGGCGCGCTGAACTCGTGCCTCGAGTCGGACGCGGACATCGCGAGTAAGAAATTCTTTGATGTCCTCAGAGAGTTCGGTCGGACAGTTTGGCTGGGTAGACTTGCGCATGCAGCTTTTACCGCTGAAGCCGCAGAGGAGAGCGTTTGAGACGAGATGGGCGCGATCATTGGTGATGACGACGTCGCTGCAGTCTCTAGGGAACGCCTGCGAGATGAGGAACAAGATATCCTGGGGCAAATGAACCTACCCGGCCAGCCAAAGCACGAAGGAAAGAGAAGGACAGCGTGTTTGCAGATCCCGCTCCGCACAAGGATCGCCAGTCGACGACTGCACAGACAGTTTGGTCATGTGCGTAATCTTGTTCTCGCACAGCTATTGAGAGTCTCCGTGATGTCATCGGGCTACATTGAAGCCGCCACTCAGACTCACAAGGTTGCCTTGCCCAAGACGGTCTGCTTCAACAGTGACATCGGCATCGACTGTCTAGGGGTGAAGGACAACAGTGGAGAACGCTGCACCTTCTTGAACAGAGTGTGCCAGGGTGCAACATTTCAGCATGTGATCTTTGTCAAGCAGGGAGGTGGTACGCCATCTTCGAGAGCATGCCTCCCTGCACTTCAGCAACACTGGTGTGCGTGGGCAGGTGAGCCCAAACGGATGGTGTTGGACCGCGGACTGCGCAACAGAAGAGTGTTTCTGCAATGGGTGAAGAGTCGAGGAATCGACCTCCGCGACGCCGGAGTCGAGTCTCCCGAGCAGATGGGTCGCGCCGAGAGACATGGTGGACTTTGGAAGAACATCCTCAAGAATGTGGTACGCGACAAGAAAGTTTCTGGACTCGATGAAGTCATCTTTGCTGCATCAGAAGTCGACAACACGAAGAATGAGATGTCACGAGTCGTCGGATTTGCGCCTGCTCAGTGGGTGCTCGGCGGATGCCTCGTGTCCCAGGGAGTCAATTCGACGGCGAGGGACCTTTCGACTTAGGAGTGCTTGCGAATGTTGCACAGGACGGTGCCGACGAGTTATCTCGCCAGGCTGCGATCCGGGTGTCTGCCAGAAGCATTCGCAGAACACGGTGTCGGGAGTGGGACGGCAAGGGCTGCTCTCCGAAAGGCAACGCCACTTGCTGGATAATATCAGGTAGGTGATGTAGCATGCTTTCGCAAAAGGCCGACCGACGGCGACGTTACCGCTTAGTGGAGCACTGGTTCTCGTATCGTTGGATTCGATAGTAAGAACGCATGGGTTATCACAGAAGGTGTGCCTGTCTGCGTGGCTGTCGACAGGGTTCGACCGTGTGCAGCGGCGGAAGGGTAGGCTTACCAACATCTCTCTAAGCACCATGACGGTGGTGTTGAGAGGTATGCGCCTCCAGACGGGCAACAGCAGTCATTCGTGGACGGGCGACGTGAACTGCCAGAACCACGGCCGCAGGAGCATTCTGCGCAAAAAACTTCCTCTGGCGACGGAAGAGCTGCTGGGGATCCCAGAGGACCCCGAGTTCATGGAGGAAGCATTTCGCCAAATGGAAGAAGATGAACTGTCAGATGGAATGATCTTCCTGTGCCGCCCGCGTCGAGGGCGTCACGGGTGACTCAAACGCCTCTTCAGAGGTCGTTGCTAGACGACGTCCAGCACGGTATACAGAGTCGGAAGGAAGTGATTCGCAGAAGAGTCGAGAATGCCGATGGTAGCACGGGAAGGGTTTCCGACCCTGTCTCGGAACCAGCTCCCGAACCAGCGAACCCATTTCTTGAGGCCATGCGCAGGGCCAGAACATCAGGGCCGGGCATGGATATCTTAGCTCGTAGAGAAGCTTCGCTCGCTGTTAAGCCACATGAATCGCTGGTCGGATTCTTCAACGGACGCACCGTTTATAAGCCCCAATCTAAGAAGAGGGTAACGAGTGCAAAGAATCTGGTCTTCCATCGGGAATCTGAGGACGTTGGAAGCGGTTTGCGTCTGGCAAGACAAGACGAATTGGGAAAATGGCGGAAATTCAATGCCGCCGTGCCTATTGATTCCGTGGACCTGAAAAATCTCTTCGACGAAGGATATTGCATGGTACCTGCGCAATGGATTGAGATTGACAAGAATGAACATCTCCTTGGACCGGGTGGATCTTTAGTTGCACCGCAGTGCAAGAGTAGATTTGCCGTGCGTGGAGATGTGGAAGAGTTTTTGGGTATCCGTGCGGACTCGCCAACATGCGACCTCTAAGGGCTAGGGTTGATAGAATCATGGGCTGCCGGTGCAAAGAAGACGCTCAAGTGTGCCGGCATTGCATCTGCGTGCTTCCAGGGGCAGGAACTCGACCGCTTCATGCTGCTCGAGCCACCGCCCGACGGACTCGAAGGAGTACCGGATGGTGGAGCACTGATCGCGCGCATGCTTATGGCAGGCGTGACGCAGGGCGAGGTTCATGGAAGAATATTCGCAGAAGGTTTGAAGCTCGTGGTCTGGGGGAGAATCGTATCATGCCAGATTTTGTCCAGTATTCACAATGACAGAAAAGAGATAATGTGTATGTTCTGTACACATGTGGATGACATACTGTGGGCCGCAGATGATGAAAGGCAGAAAATCATCGAGTCGGTATTAGCAGAGTTTGGTATTCGCGAGATCAAGTCGGATAATTGCCGTTTTTGTGGCTTTAAAGTTGTTCAAGGTGAAGATGTCGCGGCGAGTATCGCGGCCAGGGGCAATATAGAGAGTATCGAGGCTGTATCCTATCCTAGAGACAGCCCCCCCCACGAGAAAAAGCAATGAGGGCGAGGCAGCACAGCTCAGATCGGTCGTGGGTGCTTTGTCATGGGTTACACGTCAGTGTAAACCTGAGCTATTTTACCCCGTGAGCAGACTGCAGACATGCAGTGTGTCACGCTAAGGTACTTCATTTCAAGGGAGCTAACCGTGTGTCCGAAGAAGCAACTCAATCCGCTGACTGCGGGGTCGTATTCAAAGATGGAGCTGTTAAGTGGAACCAGTATATGATAGTTCTTACTGTGACTGACGCCAGCTGGGCAGGAGAAGAGGACATAGTCAAGGGTAAAATCGAGCCTCTCAGGTCACAGAGGGCTAGGTTCAATGGGCTCGCAGGGCCTGGATCCATCGAGGTGAACCGTGATCATGCCCACCCTATATGTATAGGTTGTAAAGTTCTCAAGCGAGTCTGTAAATCTACACTACAAGCAGAATCCCCTGGTTTGTTTATGGGGTGTGGAACCTGGTGTGCGCATTCGTGCCGCCATCGCAGATGTGCGTGGTATGCTAGGCGCAGGAAAGAAGCTGCCAACCAACTGGGAAGACAAACCAGCTATGTCTATGAGGCGCGTATGGATGGCGGATTGCAGAAGCCTTGAGGAACATCCCATAGCACCAACTATGGGTAAAACAGAAGATAGGCGCTTGAGTATCGATTTGAATAGTTTAAGACAGAATACTTGGACTAATGGAACGGAAGAAGTATATATTGTACATCCACGCACATTTTGTGATAGGATCCGATGGATCGATACAAGTGTCATGGCTGTTGACTGTCTGACGAAGAATATGCTTACGTATTTCCTTGTTAAGATCTTGCGTACAAGTTCGTATGACGTAACTCCGGACCCTGCATCTACCTTGAAGAAGGTCAAGAAGCAATTGGCGAGGGCCAGGATGAATGCTATCCCCTCGGGGAAGTGAGTGACTGAGTCCTGGCTGCCTTTGACTTGAGTAATCCCAACAGGGGAATACTCCTTTTACTGCCCCTAGAGGCTTATTGAGACCAGCGGTACTGCGCGGTCTGCCGGCTAGCTCGTGACAAAGATTCACGGGTGTGAGGTAGTGCATGTGTCACGTGTGTATATGCACCACTCGCCTCCGTTTGACCTCTGGGGGCCCCTTTTTGCCATTGCGCTAAAACGCATCATAATCACAAGGAGGCAATAGCGAGGAGGCACGGGGAGAGAGGAGGGAGGCCCGCCCAGGAGAAGCACGACGCGTGCTTCGAGATCCAGGAGCGCATGGCGCAGGTCAGGGAGGCGCAGGACGCCGAGGCGAAACGCGCTCGACTGGAGGTGCCGCGCTGGCCCCACCGTTGAGCAGGGCAGGGGGTAGGTTGGTAACGAAGAGGCGAGATTTTCAACTGCCTTTAAACGTCTGCCACAGGACATTGACAAAACCCGTGTTCCGCTATTGCTTTGTGCGAACCACCCAGTATTTTCTTCCACGAGGGAGGACCGAAGACTATACCTTGATAGGCCATGTCGCTCACTTGCGCAAGATCAGTCAGATGGGTAAGACCGGCGCGGGGGGGTAATTCGTCACTTTTCAAGCGCTCGCTCTCTCTCAGGCCATGGTTAACCTCATGCGTTTGCCTGTCGCAGGTCGGTGTGTGGGTTGCGCGCGGTCGGCCTGGCGACTCTTTGAACCGCATGGCAGTTGAGACTGTGCAGAGTGGAGTTGGAGTTCATCTGTTCGTGTGGAAGAAAGTCAGATGAGGAAACCACGCCGATACCCTTGCTCGTCCTGGAGCGCCCTCGTGGCCATGGCCGGATTCGCCTCGAGATCTTGGTTCGAGCGCACCCTGGGAGAGGTCCGGGGGGTGTCGGTACCTTTTCGTGCCTCCAACTCAGACTGACAGGGGGCCAAAGTACGATCAAGGATACTTCGCGTTGTTCAGTGAATTTACGGCCCGCGCTACCCCGCCCTACGGCCCCGTTTCGGCCCCCATGCGCACCGAAAACAACTCCCACGCGATGCAGCCCAGTATCCCACCCGCGCTGGACAGCCTATTCCCTCCTATACGCGATCCACCTCTCCCCCAATGAGTACGCTTATCAAGCCGTCCTGAATGATTGCCCTGGCCCGGGCGGTTTGACAGCGAGAGCGCGTAGGCCTTGCAGCGTTTTGTTCGTCTTTTCGGCCTGGCCAGTGCACGTCTGCGTCGTTTTGGCTCCCCTGGCCCTTTAGAGCGGCATGACCCCCGCGGGAGGAGTACGTCACGGAGTGCCTGGCCTACTGCATCTCCGCACTCTACGCCCTGCACGCGCTGCTGCTACTGCAGCGCATGATGTTCAACATCGCAGGGCGCGAGATGGATCTGCTCGCCGCTTCGGAGCCTGAGGCCGACGCGCCAGCCTACGAGGCTCCTCCTCCCCCTTCCTCTTGGGAAGAAACTGCCCACATCCAAGGTCCAGACCTGCTGGACAGATCCCCTCCTT